TATGTATCATACTTTGTTTATCCATTCATCTGTTGATGGGCATCTTGGTTGTTTCCATCTTTTTGCTATTGTGAACAGTGCTGCAATGAACATGGTTGTGCATATGTCTATACGTGTGACGGCTCTTATTTCTCTAGGATATATTCCTGGGAGTGGGATTGGTGGATCGTATGGTATTTCTATTTCTAGCTTTCTGAAGAAGCGCCATATCATTTTCCAAAATGGTTGTATCATTATGCATTCCCACCAGCAGTGCATAAGAGTTCCAATCTCCCTGCAGCTTCTCCAGCATTTGTTATGTTCTATTTTTTTAATTCATGCCAGTAATGCTGGGGTGAGATGGTATCTCATTGTGGTTTTAATTTGCATTTATCTAATAGCTAGTGATCGCAAGCATTTCCTCCTGTATCTGTTTGCTCCTTGAATGTCTTCTTTGATGAAGTGTCTGTTCATTTCCTTCACCCATTTTTTAATTGGATTATTTGTCTTTCTGTTGTAGAGGTGTTGGAGTTTCTTGTAGATATAGAAATTAGACGTTTGTCTGACTTGTACTGTCCAAAAATTTTTTCCCAGTCTGTAGGTTCTCTTTTTACTCTTGGTGAAGTCTTTTGTTGAGCATAGGTGTTTGATTTTTAGAAGATCCCAGTTATCTAGCTTATCTTCTGGAGTTTGTGTGCTGTTGGTTATGGTTTGTATCCTGTTAATGCTGTGTATTGGGGCCTCTAGCGTTGATCCATTTTTTTCATCTAGTAACGTTTATAGTTTTCGGCATTATTTTTAGGTCTTTGATCCGTTTTGAATTAATTTTTGTATATGGTGTGAGGTATGGGTCCTGTTTCATTTTTTTGCAGATGGACATCCAGTTTTGCCAGCACCACTTTTTAAAAAGACCATCTTTTCCCCCATTTGATGGACTTTGGGCCCTTGTTGAAGATCAGGTGACCGTAGATGGATGGATTTACATCTGGGTTCTCAAATCTGTTCCATTGGTCAAAGTATCTGTTGTTGTACCAGTACCAGGCTGTTTTGACTACCTTAGCTGTATAGTAGGTTCTGAGGTCAGGTAGTGTGAGTCCTCCTACTTTATTCTTCTTTTTCAATAGTGCTTTGTTTATCCGAGGCTTCTTCCCTTTCCATATAAAGTTAATCATTAATTTTTCCATCTCTTTAAAGAATGTTGTTGGTATTTGGATCGGGATTGCATTGTATTTGTAAATTGCTTTGGGTAGGATTTTCATTTTCACAATGTTGAGTCTACCTGTCTATGAGCATGGTATGTTTTTCCATTTATGTAGATCCCTTTGGGTTTCTTGCAGTAATGTTTTGTAGTTTTCTTTGTATAGGTCTTTTACACCCCTGGTTAGATTTATTCCTAAGTGTTTTATTTTTTTAG